TTCATAATATTGTTTGTATTTATATCTAAGGTTATAAAATTTAACACTAAGTTTTCCACAAGTTTTGCTTCAAATAGCTATAGAGAAAATTTGAAGCGTCATYAWAGGAAAAATGTTTTGAGCGTTTGAGTTTTAAATTTTTATGAAATCGCATAATGATAACGATTTATCCTCAAACCAGKYATWYRTATATCTATGATAATATAAGGTATTATAAATTATGATAACTATATGATAACTACACTAATTGATTAACCATGTCTTATGCAAAATGCGTCTTAATTGAAAAATAAAATATTTGTTTCAAAATAGAATTTATGACAATATTTAAAGATAATATATTCTAGACTGACAAATCATCTCCGTTCAGAATCGTTTTTCGTATACAATGATACCTATCATTGCATTCAAATTTAATCCCATCCATTACAGTAACCTACTGTACAGCAGAGCGACATCCACGACTTACCCGCTTATTTTTTTTTTTTACTTTTATCAACATGCTATGGAACAACAATGACTTTCTCGAAACTAATACTGTAATTATATTTTGTATAGCAATGGTTCATAAGAAACGCAGACGTCACCACAAAAATCACGGAAGCTGCAGACACCAACACATTCAGAGCTGCACTTGGCCGCAATGCAATAACTCGTGTCCAAAACTTCAAAATCCAGCAACTGGTAAGGCCGTTTAATCGATTTGTTACAAAATAAAATAAATATAAGTTATAACCATTTATTAGGTAGGTATACCTATTATGATTTAACCCAAATATGTGGTTAACTTTTTTTAAACGTCATATTTAAAAAAAAAAAACTAAACACCAAAACTTATATGTTAATAAACTAATAACACTTAAGAGACGCCTGATATATTACATTAATATATAATCTATATCGTAAAAACACAACATTTACGAAATAATATAACGTGATTTTAGGCTATAGACGATGATGAGTTAGATTTTGATTTTTAACACCAGTAAGTACCTATACCTAATAACTTAAGTACCTAGACTAGGTACCTACCCAGGTATACCTAAATTAAAAATGGACATACTACTTACAGTTGTCCCATACTCTCGTGGACCCAAATTTATAAAATACTAAAATAGACATTATCATCAGACGCTGTACTGGTGTAGGTACCTATACTTATTAATCGGTGTTGTACGATTGACTTTTGAGAACGTTTTACCTTTTTAGCAACACGATTGAGAACAATTGTCGGTATTTCTTGACAAAATTCACCTTAAATTTGTATATAAAATTAACGAAAAATGTTGCGATTAACAAAAGACTTTCGGCATGTTTGCTTTTGATTTTCGATTTTTTTTTAATTTTTAATCTTAAACTGACAAATCAAAATATAAATATGTTGTAAATAAATATTAATTTTTTAAATTTTGATCTTAAAAAAATGCCTTAAGCTGACAAATAAGTGATAAATGTATTGATTTTACAATGATGTATGAGTGTGAGTGTTTATTTTTATTTATCAAATTTAATTCCACGTAAGTTTATTATGTAGACTGTAACCAAAAACTCAAAGAAATATAGTAATTGATAGGTATCTATTATAAATTTTATATTTTAAATTAATATGGCAACGTTGCATACAATTTAACAGGTAAAAACGTTCTCAATCATGTTTAAAAAAGGTACAGCCGATAAGGACCGTTCTTAATCGTGGTCTACCCTTATTAGTTACATATTTACTATTTACTTCCTAGTTATCTATTTCATATCGATATGGTTGTATAGTATATTAACCGATTTAGATTTTAGATAGTAATAGAGAAATTCAATATAAACTAGCCATTTTAACAGACCCAATTATGCACAGATTCAGCATTTCTGCTATTATTAATTATTAAACGTACAATTATTTTGTTATTTACTTAATGTTTTATTATTATTATTATTATTATTATTATTATTAAAAAAAGATAAGCCCCCTTGGATAATTCCTGGCTACGTCACTGCATTGACGCATTCTAAAAACAAAATCACTTTCAAGGACGCCTATTAAGAATATAAAAGGAATTAAAGAGACATGTCTTGCCTCAGAAAACAAAATAATAGAATAATAGTATGCAAAAAAATATATACCAATACCCAATAGCTAATACCATGAACTTTTGTCCAATGCTTAACGCTTAATCCGTGAACCAATCTACCAGTCAYTTTATATTCGAACAGAATAATATAGATTTTAAAATCTAGTTTCATCTTTCTCCCCCCCTCCCCGAAATGTACCTTATGAGCTACTCTTTTGATCACTCTCAAATTTATCTCTGATTTCAAACTCAGACCTAAACTAAAAAAGAAGGTAGGTACCTACTTGTGAACTGGTTTTTGACCTCCGTCACTTGTATGTATTCTGAAATCAAGTATCAGCTGGTGTGACCATCGGGGTTTTTAGTGACAAAGCCTGGCTACATTCATATGCGCAAATAGGGTGGGGGACTTTGGGGGTGATATAATCATCTCCGTTTTAAAATTAACACCCTCAAATAATGTTAAGTTAGTGGCTGAGGGTGAGTTGCGGCCCGACCTTTCGTTTCYGGTGTTGGAGACCGGTGAATTCCGGCCCGATAATATTTTAGGTATTGGTTAGTTGCGGCCCGAGTAGGTAATCATCATTACATATGTACCTTACTTATTTAATATATATTATATTATATACCTATTACCTATGTACCGTATAAACGAATAACGATAAACGAAATGTTCAATACGTATGGGAAGTTATATTTTTGTATAGGTATAATATGATAAAGATAATATAGATCGTTTTATCGTATTATCTACCATATATGACTTACATTATGAATGCTTTGATTTTTTTTGGACATTATTATCATAATATATTACACCAATTTATTATACTTTTTTTTTTTTTTATTATTTATTATTTAATATAATGTCATAATATTAATATATTATATTATATTCTATAATTTTATGAATACTTTTATTTTCTTTACGACCAATATTAATATAAGAACGACAATTTATACTAGAAAATACCTACATAATATTGTGATGTTTATAAACTATTACTATATATAGACATATAGTATATAATATATATTATATATATGTAATATATACATTATCGTATGGCCGCAATTCGTACGTACCTTTCATAAACCCGGGCCGCAACTCGTATGTTATTTAGGGTTTGGGCCGCAACTCACCAACACTGAGGTTAGTATTAAGCACCCTTAGTTTTTTTAATTGGAATTTGTCTATGATTACACGTAGGTACACGTGTTCTATTCTAGCCGACAATATCTATTACGTGGGTCAGAGAGAAAACAAAATACATTATACTGATTGTTGACATCCGCGTTCTCTTAAGCCTTAATTAATAAACTAATATAAATTATTGAGTATGTAGGTAATATTAAAAATCGACGACATTGTGTTAGGTAATAAATGAAATAATTGAACAGACTAAATTTTAGGACCAGTAAATTTTTCTGCGGATAATAGAATAGCGACTAGTAATTGAAATAAAAAATAATTTAATTTAAAAATGTACTTGTATTTGTTTATTGGGTGGATCATGACAAGTTTAACATGTTAAATTACAAAATATATGAATCAAATAGAGTTAATCATAGATTTGTTAATTTTTAGTAATATTATCAATACCAACAGAATAATTTATACTAACTAAATGACTAAGTATACAACTTAACTCTGTATGCTTTACTCAAAGTATTAAATTGATGGATATTTGTGTTTTAATATCGAATATAAATMGATGTTAAAAAACAAACGTCTTCCATCATAAAAACCTGTTAGATGTTTTATCAATCTAATCAAGTTGTTACAATTTGTGCTTTGTGTACAGGCGAAGAGGTGGACTTCATCGAGCTGTTGCAGTCATTTGGGGTGAATATACCAAACCTGTCGTCCGAGCTGGGAATCGACATGGAATCACTAATACACATGGACCAGGAAGAGTTGCTGAACCTGCTCACTCAACAGTCCAATTAAACCCGTACGGTTACGATTATCAGCATAGTTTGGGGGGGAGGGGGGTTGACAGTAGGTCGAAGGATGGGTGTGCATTATGATGTGGGATAAGGGATGAGTCGACGCGGGACTTCAAATATAATATTTACCGGGGTGTTTTGTGTCTGGGTTTTACTGGAACGCGTCAAATTTTACCAAAAAAAAAAAAATATTTATATTAACACTAATAAAATCGTTTGTACATATTTTTTCTTTTTTATAAAATTTAGTTTACGAAAAACAGTCAATTCGTCTCCCTTTTTTTTATGTAAATAAGTTATTTGTACATTTTGTTAAAGGAAACCAAACACTAAAATAAAACGTCGAAACAGTAATTACCTACTGCTTTGATAGTATATGTGTACTTGAACTTGGTCACATGTAAGTACAATATTATTATTCCTTTTTAGGGACCAATATATTTTTTTTTCAAATACACAAGTACACAACTGTATACCAAACAACCTGTTCCTTGATTTTTTAAACTAGTTTAAACACCTAATGTTTTAATTATTATAAATGCTTAATAGTAAGTCAATATGATAACGTAATTGTAAATTTTATAGATGCGGTTTTTAAATTTTAAATAACCATAAATAAACCATTATATTAGACTCAATTAGCTACCTTTAATCTACGTATGTACCTGTCAATTGGATCAAGTCATACAAACCGCATTTATGAAACACCAGACATTAAACAGTTTAGTAATAAGAAATATTACTATTTTAGTTAAGGAATTATAATTTCCAAACTCCCGACTTCGAATAAGCCATACAAATTAATTGGAAAAAAATTAATTTTTGTCGACATTTATTTATTCTTTTTATATACAGCAGTTTTTAATTATTATTATTATTAAGATAAATTATTGATTAATTTTTATAACATATAAAATAACTATTACCTACCGATAATTAAATTATTACTTTTGTACTTATAACAATGTGTGAACAATTTTTTATTTTAAATTATGAAAAAAATTGTATGTAATCATTAAACAAGAACCAATTTTTATAACATTATTTATTTTAAATGTATTGCATTGTGCTTATAAATATAATTAATGAGTGTGTGTGTGTGTGTGTGTGTGTGTGATGACATAACATGGCATAAAATAAAATAGTCTCCAAAGTTTTGAGTGTTTTTATCATTTTTCATACTGGCATTTTGTAGAAAAAAGTCCCAGACTCTTAAAAAAGTTGTTTATTTTACACAGTTGCATATAATAAAAAAATAAATAGTGAAAAAAAAAATCTTTATATAATCAATGTTTGTGTCAATATACATGTTATGTTGTACAACTCAACAGTTTATTTTCCACAATCAATGAATTCAATCAAAGCGGAGAAATACTATTTAATGGATGAAGCTTAATATACTGCTTGTGTAAAATACACAATATTTAATTTCAACTGTGTAAATCAAATGTTTTAAAACTGCAACCCCTGAATATATTAATTTCATTATAAAATTTTAAATAATTTAATCACTCATTTAATGATGATGAAAAATATAATTATCACATTCCGTCTGCTATATTTTTATAGTAAATGAAATTTGTATATGTTTTTTTAAGGTTTGAGTTTGTCGTGCATTTTTTGTTGCTCAAATATCTTACAGCTACTAAAAACAATGTTGCTTCATCCATAGAAATTTCAATTTTTATTTTTTTTTTATAAAATTTTTCCWTAGTTGGATGATTATTTTCAAAAAGCTTCTGAAACCAATTTTTCACCCTTCAGTCACATTATTGTTTGTTTGGTAGCTCCAGTGTCCGCCTGGCCATGGCCCCCTAAATTTTTTTTTCTATTTCCAACTTCTTATTTGTTAAGTCTCATAAATTTTTGTTTTCTTGTCTTGGCATTTTCCTGTTCTATGTAGGAAGTAGGGACCATAAAAAGCATTTAACAAATTATTTAACCAATTTAATGTTTAGGAGCAATTTTTTTTACAGGGCCCAAGAGTCTTGGGCCAAGACACTTCAATTTGGGACCCCTTAGAAAAACTGATTTGTTGGCTTATGGTGAGAAAGACACTGGGTGACCCCTAGTAACCCCCAACTAAGGGGTTAGGCTATGAATATAACACAAATAAAATGATAATATTATAGGTGAAACGTTTTTTTCTATGATTGGGACAATTATTTTACCAAATATGGTTTTTAGAACTTTTTTTCTCTGGACCATAATCAACAGCAGCTTGATGTTCAACTGTTATTATCGTTTTCAAAGCCGTAATGATGAAAGTCTTTGAACAAAACATTGAACTTTATCCAAACACATCCTTGACTTCTGACTCTAGTCACTAAAAAAATATATATTTAACAAGTTCAAAATTATTTTAGATTAAATAAATTAGTGAGAAAAAAAGAAATTTATTTGAATTGTTATTTATGAAAGAAACCAATTTGAGAAAACTCCACAATAATAATTTTAAAATTCAATGAGTATTTTATACCTTCTCTGCCATCGCCCCTAGCTAATAACCGTGCGTCTATGTATTCTGGTCTTTTACCCGTCAACCATGAAGTCAGTTTTTGTAATGTTGAACTTGATTCAGGAACAAACATAATCATCCTGTAAATTAAAATTTAACTTTCTATTAATATTATTGAATAATACAATACWAATATTAACAAGTATAAATATAGCACACTATTGGGCAGTCAGCTTTGCTGTACTTGAAACCATTGATTATTAAATAGATAATTCTACAATCAATGCTTGTAACAAACTAACATAACAAATACTTACTCTTCAGAAGATTGTCCATTAACAACTGGGAGGTGACATACTCCATAGCCTCTCACAACATCGTTCCCAAAAGTATCCAACCCATAAACACTAATGATTAGTTGTGGCCCTAAAAAGGTGGAAATTATGTCATTATTCAAAATCAAATTAAACTAATTTAATCACAATTTAAAAAAATCCAAACAAGTTAAATACACGTGAAAAAAATTGTTTGTGTATTTTACTAATAACTAATCATAAAGCTAATACTCAAATCCATATAATATAATTTTGAATAAATGCTATAAATCAATAATTTCAATGTACTATATATGTCAAGTGACTATAATCAAGGTTAACACCTTATTAACAACTTCAGAGTTAAATTCTAAATAATTGGATTTGAATCCAGTGCAGTTTGCTATGTGCTGTTGTGAATTAGGTACATTAAAACATTAAGTGGTTAAGAGGATGTCAGCACTGTTTTTTTTCTCTGACTCATGTGCAACATGAAAAAAATACATGTAGACAGTACCTATCATTTTTTTATATAYATTTTTGAATAATCTGAGAGTAAAATCACTCATTATTAAATCGATAGAAAATAATATTTTTGAGAGAACATATCAATTTGTCTAAATTATTGTCTTGAAACAATTTAAACATAATTTAAATTTACAAAAAAATGGTTTTCATCATGTAAAAAGCCGAATCTAAAGTCAAATAATAATAAAATATAAAACCAATATGTCATTCCCTCGAAAATATTATCCTCTATAATTTTTGTAATACGTGATTTACTTCAAGGTAACTCAAATATCATAAAAAAATTTCAGGCAAAACCATTTTATCTGTCCTACATGGGCCTGAGAGAGATAACAATTATTAAACTGACATACTCATAATTGTGCCAATGAAAGAGAAAAAAACAGAACTAATTTTAGAGAGCCACTATGTTCAAAACAACGTACACCCGTKWGGATTGGAACTCTTGAAAGAAACGTCTAACGGGAAATTCCATACGACATGTTGTCTTTCATCTTGGCTCTTTTGAGCGATTTGCGATATGCCTTCTTCGATGCCCTATTTTACGGCATAACACACAGATAAGACTTAAAATACAATCGTGGCGAAAAAAATCTGCCTCCGAAATGCTAAGTATGAGGGGCACTTACGGTGACGATTTCCCAATCGGGTCCATAGACGAAAGTGTACTTGCAATACATGTTGTCATAGTTCGGAAAATGAGCTTTTTCGATTTGACCGACGACAGAGACCAGAAACACACCACCGGACGTACTCTCGCCACCCGACATTTTCAGATTTCCTTTTAATTTGCTGGGTGACTTTTTTTCGAACAAACGAGACGAGAAAATTACACGAAACTTGAAAAAAAAATTACGAAATCAGCACAGATTTAAAGAAATCGGATTACAAAATACAAATTATATTATCAAATTTTGAATAAATTAGTACAGAATTCTGTGATATTAGTAATAAATTAAAAATGTTCTATTGGATAATGGAAGCCGYGGACGCCGGGCAATATTATTTTATCGCGATTATCAGTGGTCACGTTTTGGAGGTGTGACCAACTGAACRACAAAATCTTTGAAGACATCGAGTYTTCTTCCCGCGACACGGCTTTCGAACGCGCTCGTTGACGTATTAGTTGACGATAATTGTGTATTTGCGTCCCGCCGACATTAAATTTTGCGCAGCGAAAAATAGCAACAAAGTTCATTAATAATTTTATATTTCCATAAACTAACCACTTTACATACGGCACATCAAAACAACAGAGGAGCGAGATCAACACTATATGCCGTTCAACGAAATCAATTAGAAAGATTACTGGAACATCGATATCGACCATCAGACGACTGAAGMAACTATAATTGACTAATAGATAATTGTTATGATATAAAAAATAAAATAAATATGTTTTTAAAGAATATATTAATATTAATATTTTTTTTTAAATATATGATTCTATAAATACAATCTTAGTTTTCATTCGGTCATCAAGCTTGAACACGGACGATCAATGCTATAGCCTCAAATATAAAACTTTTGTTTGAGTTTTATATCTGTGACTTCCATTAGAAGGGAACGCATATAAAAAGTACGAAAAAATAGTGTTCAAACCGCATCTCAGCTGAAATTTTTTTTATTTGACTTGTATTTCATTTTAACAGAATCATATTTATCAGGTGAAAAAAATTCGGATCTAATACTGTCATTCAAGATGTTATTCAGCTGAATTATTATTCGATTTAAATATTTGTCGGTGGAATTGTTTTCAGACTTATTACAGATTTCGATTGGATCAACACGAAAAWTGTATACCTACCAAAAACAAKAATATCCAAACAGCTACGATGCAAATTAAAACTATTTTGTCATGAAATCGATTATTCCGCAACTTATCTCACAAAAAATCGTAAAAAAATCTCAGTCTGCCACAATTGTACCCGATTATTACCCGTATCGATTATTACTCAAAGTACAACGCAATGTACCAAGCAATATCAAGCAATATATTTCAACTAAATTAAATATGATTTATTATAGCACATTCATACTTTGCAATCATTAACAGTTATTACTTATGTAAAATAATTTACAGCATTGGTCAATAAACGCAAAAACCAAAATTGTAAGGTACTTTAGACTGGTAATTACATTGATATAGGAAAATTTCATTCATAAGCACAATTAATGAAATTTCATTAATTGTGCCTGTAAATAAGAATTTAACACTTGTATATAAAAATTAAGTAAGAATATAAACATTTTAAAAACAACAGCTGTAACTGTATTAAAAATATATGTAAATTTAACCTATTTACAAATTTCATAATTGTAGAATTAAGTCACTTACATTTCAGTCATTAACTAAAACAGAAGTATTCTATAATAGTTTAGAGAAAGGTTATGGGTATATTATTAGGTATAATATACCTACATTCCAATAATCAGAGCACATGCGTTACAGAATATATCTGAAATCTTAAAAATATTTGTCTATGTTAAGTGCTAAATTACCTTTAACTGTACATATACATATATAAAAGAGCAACTATCGTCTTTGATATGGATGATGCCGAACTTGTCTGTTTTGGTATTGTGGTGGAGGAGGTGGAGGTCGATTAGTTCTTGTATTAAAACCACGTTTATTTGGCGGATTTCTGAACTGAAGGTAAGCAGGGTCTGAAAAATGTTGACTTCCACCATCAACATAATGCTGACCACTTTCACTGCTGAAATGTGGACCGCCATCTACGAAATGTTGAGATCCATTTCCATAGCTACCACTAGCAAAAGCCCCATCTCGACTGAATACACGACTTTCGTTGTATTTTTGTCTTTCTTCATATGCATCTTGCATTTCAAAATCAGTGAATGACTGTGTTGATTGCTGTGTCATGCTTTCTCTTTGATTATAATTTTCAYTATAAGATTGTCTCGGAGGAACAGATTCGCCCATAAACTGAATAGAAGATGCCATTGTTTCATGTGGGCGATATTGCCCAGATACTGAAGATATCAGATTTGGAGGCTGAGAAAAMATAGAGTTTGCAAACGATTGAGGTGCATTTTGAAGAGGAGGATAAGGAGGATACATAGGGAAACCTGAAGGAGGTATTGGTGGAGGAGGTTGTATGGGTGGTGGTGGTAATTGAGTAACACCTGGTGGAATTAACATTTGATTTGGTGCTGGTGGAGGGGGTGGAAGTGATGGAGGAGGGGGCGGTGGTGGCATTGTAGGCAGTGGCGGTCTTGTTGATGGAAGTGGAGGTGGTCGTTTTAAGGGCGACTGTTGCAATAACAATTTTGGTGGTGTGGGAGGTGGTGGCAAAAATGGTTTTTGAGCATTTAGTGGTTTTGGTGGAATATTAGAAATTGATGGTTTAATTCCTGGTGGCATGGGTAATAATTGCTTGGCTGGTGAGGTATTTGGCGTAGTTATCAATTTCACATTTTTCGTTATAGCTGCTTGCATCGCTTGTTCAGGTGTAAGCACTACAATAAAAACAATGATACAAATAACACTTAAAAACTATAGCTATAAAATATGCCATTAAAAGCTTTTTAAGTCACAGAAACAATAAAAGCATATGAAAAAAAACTCACTGTATTTAGCAGCCATTTTTTGCAACAATAATTTCTGATAAATGGACTGTGGGGGTACAACTTTCTTGGGAACTATAAATTTTTCTTGACATGGAGGTGATGGTGGTGCATTTTTGTCTGGAGTTGAATAAAGATCCAGAACTTGATGACAAATATCTAAAAACAAAAAATTTAATAAAATGTATATCACAAATATTTATTTTAACATACCAACTGATGACAATACAGGGATAATACAATTTTTCACTAAGGAAATTTAATTTTTCTGCCATTATAAATGAAATGCAACTTCTTTAAAAGAGCTTTTAATAGCATTATATGATTTTACTWTTAACCAGCCTTGTGACACAAGGATCTAAATTATTATCCTATGTAATGTTTTTTTATAATTGTTTAAAAGAATTCATTTCAATATAGATTTGTTTATAAATTTGGAGAAGTATAGGCAGTACTTTGTATTATAAGCAATAGTTTCTTCTCAAACACATTATTATATATTTCAATTATACTTGATTATTTATATATAATCTAAGTAGACAAGGTTAAAAAAAAGTAAGATAGTAAGAAAATAAGATCTGTGTATAGTGAAATAGACTCAATGCTCCAGGTGGTATTTTAGATCTATAAATAAGGGTAAGCAATTTATTCTTATCATATTTTTTATTTKATTTTTTTATTTGCCTTTTAGTATTTTTTTTTAAATATAGTTTATTAACAAATAGTATAAGACAATAGTAGATTAAACAAATACCATTCAGACTTGATTCAAATAAAACTAGAGAAAAATGTTAATGAGAAAAATATTTTTTCGAACCTTAAAAACCATATGAAACCATACCATAAGAAAAAAACAACAAAAAACAAATGACCATGAATATAGTAAATGTATTATGAATTTATGGAGTATATTTCTGCATTTCCTGTTATTTCAAAAATAAAGCTTAGACATAATGATCAGTATTAATTTTTTGATTTTATTGCTTAAAAGCATTACACCTTTARAAAATCCATTACTCACAAAATCATAATTTCATATAATATTATCTTCTAATTTAAGTTCTAGCAAAACTATTTGTATTTTTTTAGTAATATATTGTAACTAACCTTCAAGCAAATCCATATTCATTCCTTGAACAAACATATCCCACCAACGTAAATGATTTGGCGTACGACCCTGCCAATCATTGAGTTCGAATTTACTTAGTTTACATGCTAAATATATTAATGAAACTGCGATAATCTCTGGTTCCCACTGAAGACAAAGAGTAGTACATAAGCTGCAATATATGACACTTTCTATAGAAACAATTTTTAATTTTAACTGTTATCAATAGAAATCAAGGACAGACTGTCATTTTCAATTGAACTGTTTAGTGGAAATGTTGTATGTAAAATTTCAACTAAAAATACCATTAAAGATGTTTATATTTAAAAATGTAAGAAGCCATGTCCAGTCTATCCCTAATGTCAAACAAATAATTTTTACCTATCATTTACAAATGTCCAAGCCATTTGAACCATTTTAGTTAGTTTAGTCTTATCACCTGTTAAATAAAACATCAAAATGTTATAAATCCTATAAAAACTATAATTATGAAAATATTAATACAAATTACATACCTTTTAAACATTTAGCATACTTTAATAAGAACTGATATGGATGATCAACTTGTAGATCAAACTTAATTGTTTGCAACAATATACGTTCAAGTACCATTACTTCTTCCTAAAATATTTAAATATTTTATGAAGAAGCAATAAAGTAGTACAATATTTATCTAAAATAATAACAAACTAACCTTGGGGTCTAACCCAAGGGTTTCGTATTTTTCCTCGGGTAATATTGCTTTAGCCAACTTTATTATGTCTTTACACTTCTTAGGTGTTTCTTCAACTTTACCAGCAAGAAAAAGACAACAGCATGCTGTAAGCTGAAATAAAAATTGGCACATACATTAAATTAACATATAATAAAGCCAAATAATGTAAATATTATGCTAGATGACAATAAATTCAAATTTTAAATTATGAAAAAATGTATTGATTGTAATATACAGTAGTACCAATTATTCCTTTAAATAAATTATATTATTTCAAGATATTGTAAATAATTATTATTACAAATAAAAAATGTGTGTTTGGTCTAATTCATTAACGGTTATATATTATGCTARATTAGCATTAACGTTATTATTGAAACAGTGATAACCTAAAAAAATTATTATGTAGGTAATTGGAAAAATAATAGAAATATTAGAAACAAAATGGTTTAAATACTAATGTAGCATATGCCACATGGGCATCATGGGTGTATCCAAAACTTAAATCAAAACTCGAAATACTTGAAGATACTTTGGTGGGAGGGTTTATGTATTTTTAATCAATTAATCTGAACATTTTACTGTTTTACAGATATATTGCAACATAATAGAGTAAATAACCACACAATACTGAGAAGT